CACGACGAAACACAACGCAAGCATTGTTTCACATCGGTTTTCGGTGAGGTCGTGGTATCACTCCAGTCGAGCCGGCCCATTCGTGCCAAAGCATGGCTGTTCCACACTTATTATTTCATATTCTTCTCTTGTTGTAACTACACAAAAGTTTGTTGCTAAGTGACCTCTCTACTTCGTTGTATAAGTCTTAAAGATGAGCTTGAAATTTATTTCTAATGTAGGAGGAATTAAAACTTGAATTCAATTAAACGTTTCAATTAAATCGTTGGCCGAGTGGTCGCAAGACTGCCTCGTTGGCCGAGTGGTCGCAAGTGCGACTGCCGGGCAAGGGGTCTCGGGTTCGATTCCCGGGTCGGGCAAAGTATTACTGGGTTTTTAAATAATTCTCAGTAGTAGCACGGAGTCTGGAATTGTGCCCGGTATATGGCAATAGGCTCACCCCCTATTACATGGGACTCATAACAAAAATAGTGAAAAGTGGGTGTTACATTGTACAGTGGTATAATGTGCACCTCTGCTTACCCCTTCGGAGATAAAAGGCGTGATGTTATGTTTCAATTAAAGTACCTTTTTTAATTTCAAGCCTGGCTTTTTAGGTAGAAAGACTAGGGTGTGAGGGATTTGTACCTAAAACAACCCCGGTGGCCACCCTCAACATCTGTATGGAGGCTCCGGGTTCTCTAAAAGAGACCTGCTAAGGAGCACCCATGGTGTCGCGCCTGTTAAGTCACATATCTAGGGTTCAAAATGTTTAATTAAGGATTAATTAAAATAAATGCTTTGACTTTGACTTTTGAATTCGAATTCTAATGAATTTAATTCCTCTAAATCTAAATAAAATCACTTTTGAATAGTATTAAGTTTCTATAATATTACAATATATTACTTATTTTTATCATTTCAATCTAACAAGTTATTTCAGCAAACTGAACATAAATCTTCAACTTGCATTCTTGTACATAAAAACACGAATATAAATTCCCACTAATGAAATGGAGATAAAATAAATTGTATCCACGATCCTTATTGATATTATATATAGATGCAAGTGTGTGTGTGTGTGTGTGTGTGTGTGTGTGTTTATTTTTATCATATTACAATGAAGTGTTTTATGATAATTATAATTTATGTGTCTGTAGATAGTAAGGAGGAGAATGATATTAGCTTAATTTTTTCCTTTAAGCTACGTTTTCAGCATTATTAATTAGTTTTACTTTTTATTTTAACCTAAAATAGTACATAAATGGATCTTATAAATTAGTTGCTGAAAAATTGTGACTTTGTAGAAGCATTGCACAATTTGATTCCCCCTAGTCCTTTCCATCAATGATGATGCTTCGCTGATTGCCTTGTGGTACGAACCACAAGACAATCGACGAAGTGTCACCGATTCATGGTGGATTTCCCACCCACATGCATGAGGCACTTCGTAACAAGCTTTCTTGTGCATACTGCTTAGGAGTGGAATTCTTTGGAAGAATCTGTGTTTCCTGAAGGGTATATATAACCTGGGTGTCTTCAAAGCCTGAGTGAATAGGTTGCTTATGGGCAGACGTGCTCCATCGTAGACAGCATCATCGTTGACCCAACAAATATATTAAAAAAACTATTACTATTAGCTGATGATCATGAACGTCCCTTCAGGCAATGAAAGATTCGATATGAATTCATTATGTAAGTACTACAGTACGTAGTATATGGATAATAACAACAATGGCATTGAATTATATCAATTTAATTCAATTAGGTACATTAAAACTAAGTAAATGCACATCACGTAACAAAATATGTAAGACACAATTAAAGACGTGAGTCGGAACAATCAAGGTAATAGGGATGATGAGAGGGTATGAAAATTAAAAATATAGTCGTATAATAAAAAAATACTTAGGTAAAACGAATCAAAGTTTAGGAGTGGGGGCTAAAACGTCATTTCTACGTATAAAATGTACTTAGAAGTGACGTCACGCGACATTTCAAATCAATATATCTTCGAAAGTACCTATTCGTTTCCGTAAGAAAATAAAAAATACGTGTCTAATGTCTTTTAAACAATCTACCAAACAGACAATAAAATAAAAATTAGTCGTCTACCCCATTAATTGTATACTTGAGACTAAATACTGCTTTTACTCTGGCCTTTTCAAATGAGGGAGGTCAATATTTAGTGTTTACTAAATTAAACTAGAGTCACTGTTTACTTGGCCAAAACCGAATTCATTTTCTAAATCATAAATCTTTTTGCTAGACTGCACGGTTGAAAAACACTTTAAGTGATCCACAGATTGTTGTTCCGGGTCTCGGTGTCATGTGTATGTGAACTTGTATGTTTGTAAACGCACCCACGACACAGGAGAAAATCCTAGTGTAGGGCATCTTTTTTTTAAATAAATGTAAAGCTTTCGATGTCACGTAGAATACTACTTTGTCCGACTCGAAATTTATACCAGGATCTTCACCATCTTGACCACCATCATGAATCTAAGTACTTTCTTGATAGTCGCGCTTGCAACCACTCGACCATTGGATACAAAAAAATCAAAACAGGTAAATATTTATTGATACCAATATCTGTAATAAAAAATTATATCTCATTTAAAGTTTCACAAATAGTGTACTACCTACTGAACTTTGGCATTTTACGATTCATGTCAACTCAGACGATGTCTATTTTTACTCAAACATTATTAATAGCAATGTGAAAAAAAAGATAATGCAATTCATATGACTGCCTGGTTATTTATTTCTAGGTTTTATTTCTTTTTAACGGATTTATACAATATATATAAATAAATATATATATTTTATTGCATAAGCCGGTAAACGAGCAGAAGGATCACCTGGTGGTAAGCAATCGGTGCCGCCCATGGACACTCGAAACACCGAGGCGACAAGTGCGTTATACTGGTCTTTTCGGAATTAGTATCATGTAATAGGGGGTGAGCCTATTGCCATATACCGGGCACATTTCCAGACTCCGTGCTACTACTGAGAATTTTTTTAAAACCCGGTAGTACTTTGCCCTACACGGGAATCGAACCGAAAACCCCTTGCCCGGCAGTCGCACTTGCGACCACTTGGCCAACGAGGCAGTCAGTATTTCAATTTTATCTATACTTATTATATTAACAAAAATCGCAGGTTACTCACGTGAATATAGAGGTACTAAGAAAAGGTCTACTAGTTTTGAATTGAACCACAGAGGTGGTTCTTCCTCATAACCGCGGTCGCGGCGATGTCGCGCAGCCTACTGATTATCTTCTTACTTACTTCTATCTATCTATCTTTACTAGCTTCTACTGGGGCCTTCGCCCGCGTGTCAGAAGTTAGCTTCGCCTATAACCACGAACATATATTCCAGACTTATAATCTATCCTTGTTCAAACTTTCATTCCGATCCCTTCACCCGTTTTGACGTGAAAAAGTACCAAACAGGCACACAACTTTTGCATTCATAATTTTAGTAGGATATTGATATTATTTGTACGTTAACAGCTTTCGATTAAACAGGCGTGAATCACACCTAATCCTAAACCCATTTATAGTAATGGGAGATTTTATCAACGACCATAATAATTTGTCTGAGTTACTTCTGATTAATTACCGCGATGATTTTATCTTAATGTGAAGACATGGTGTTATTAACCTCGGACAAACATTATTTATTATTTCCAATTGACTCTTGACTCTTGGACTTCATTACAGTTTACCTTTTAATTAATGTTATAGATATATCATTTTGGCTCTCGAAGGGATAAAGATGATTCGTTTTAATTCTAGTAGGCAAAGGTTTTTAGTGAGTAGTCATGGATTCGGCAGTAAGATACATAGGGCAAATGATAATAACATAACTGGTATAAAGTAAGAGTTACATTGCAGATGAACTTCTTTTAGGGTTAAAAATGATGTTATGCTTGAATAATGTCGTGGTAACCCAGAGGTTTAAGACGCCCGCTTCTCATGCATGAGAATGCGAGTTCCAAACCTACCAACGACAAGTACCAAAGTGACTTTTTCCGAGTTATATGTACTTTCTAAGATTATAAGACACGACTGACAAACGGTGAAGGAAAACATCGTGATGCAACCTAGGCTTATAATTTGTAATTGTAAGTTGAATATCGCCCACCCGCATTGAGCAAGCGTGGTGATTAATGCCCTTCTCCGTATGAGAAGAGGCTTTTTATCAGCACGGGCCACTGGTGGTTGATGTGGTGGCTGATGATGATTATGTTTGAATGATCCAAATAAACTACATAAATGCTTAAATATCAGCAATAAAAATCATCAGCCTATTACAGTTCCACCATTAGGTTGTCTATTCTCAAAAATATTGAAAGTCGCTAGATATTATGTTATGGAAAACATGTTTTATAATTAAAATATTATAAAAAATACGTCTAATTTATATACCTAATCTGTAAATCACGTGGCAAACAGGTTAGTTTTGATGTCATATGACAGCTAATTTAGATAATCTAGTCTTTATTATTAGACTATTTTTCTATTTTAATGTTAAAGGTCAACTAAATATGTTATGGTTGGGGTAAGGTGACTTTATACTCTCAACTCTAATATGTACCAAAATATGTTTTTCTTTTATGTTATATGGTATACTTACAGGATTTACATTTTTTGGGATAAGCAAGTCAATAATAAGCCGAGCTGAGAATCAAACGATAGTAAGAAATCGGTGCCGCCCATGGACACCTGAAGCAGTAGGGGTTACAAGTTCGTTGCCGACCTTTTGGGGACTGTTGGGGAATCGGGGATTGGGAAGATTGGGTAGAAGACTGATTGGGCCTCCGGTAACCTCACTCACGCAACAAAACACAACGTAAGTGTTGCTTTACGCCGGTTTTCTGTAAGGCTGTGGTATGACTGTGCACATTTGTGCCAAAGCATGGCTTTCCCACACACATATAGGTATGTGTGTGTGTTTTTTTAGTTTATAGGGCTCACTTTCGTCTTTTTTGTTTTTCTAAATAAAAGTGAAATACTTATTATTTACAATTTAATAATTTATTTTAACGCGTCTTTCACATTTTAAATGCTTAATTTAATTTCATAACAACGTTTCACATTTCACATTTTACTTACTAAATATGACGATCTTCTAAAAACTGCCAAAAAAAAACTCTTGCGTAAAATGATTCTTAACCACAATATTTTCTCGACATTTTGTACTATAATCATTATACTTGAATATTATACTTGAATATTAATTTTGACAGTTTCTAGCAGTACATTTACATTTTCATTTTTATTACAAATCCAGTCTATGGCACTGTTCAATAATAGTATCCAGTTTTATCATCGAACCTAGGTGGATCTCTGGGACCTCCGAATTCCTCAAGCCCTACAAATCCATTAGAACCAGTTTTAATTTCATATCCTGGAACTGGAATGATCGGAGTCTGAAGGGAAGATACACCAAGACCAGACTGACCTACATTATAACTTAATCTAGAAGGGAAGCTGGGAACTTGGTTCGAGCTAACAATACTTTCCTTTATACCCTCAACGCTGAATTGAGATTGACTAGGGACTTGGGTAATTGTGTACAGTGGGACAGATCCCACAATCGTTTGACTTCCAGAACTGGATCCTTGAGATGACACTGCCTGGAAAGGCTGTCCACTAAAATAGTTAATTGCAACTGGCTTCGTCGGCTGGACCGCAACCTGAGAAGTGGAAACCGCAGAGCTCTGACTTTGGGCGATAGAACTCTGTGAAGATACCGGTTTGAAAGGTTGGCCACTCAATTGGTTATAAGCAGTCTGAACAATTGGACCACTAATTTCAGCTGCTTTAGTAGGTTGTACAACGAATTGAGAAGATCCTACGTTAGATTCTGACGATTCCTGAGTTGAGACACTGAGAGCACTGAGTGGTTCGCCACTGATTGGAGTCTGCGCTGTAGAGACAACCGAGTTAAAATTGTCTTGCGCTTCCTGTACTTTTTGACCTTGTTCACCTCCAAATAAGGCAGTTACAATGGGTTGTGGTTTCTGATAGTTGTAGATACTAGACTGAGCATTGCCAAGAGAACCTTGAGTGGACTGACCGGCTACACTCTGTACGGTCTGTACAGTTTTAACAGGCTGGTTTACAATAGCCTGACCAACTTGGAATGATGAGCTCTGAGAACTGTCAGTAGGCTTCTTACCCTGGACGGATTGTGCCTGTTGGTAAATTGTTTGAGTCAATTGAGATCCAAAAGGCTTCTGTGCCTGTCCAAATTGTCCACTACCAACATTAGATTGAACAGTTTGACCAAACTGACTGCTAAATTTGTCAAAATTCTGTGAAAAAGAACTTAAAAATGGTTTTTGGGTAGTAACAGCTGACTGTCCGAATTGAGAAGTTTGTTGATATTTAGAAACTTGTCCTACTTGTGAAATACCGAATGGTACTACGTTACCACTTGAAGCAAATGCACTAGACTGAGATTGAGGCTTGATTCCAAAGTGTCCACTTGATGTACCGAACGGCTTTTGACCATCTTGTACAGGCTGTGCGATCTGAGAAACAGTGGTTACACCTGGAACATTAACTTGTGAATTCTGACCAAAACGAGATTCAGTCGAAGAAAATTGTGAACTTCCAACAGGTTTTATTCCAAATTGGATAGTTTGTAGCGGCTGGGCCTGAGAAATAGAACCTTGGCTTGTTTGTGACGATTGCCCAAATTGGGATCCAGAAGAAACTGAACTTTGAGTTTGCTGGAAGTTAATGCCAGACCCCGAAGATGATTCAGATTTTTTGTCTGATTCAGAACCTGAGCCAGCGCTTAAACCTACAATACCTTGTTGAGTATATTGTAAACCGCTTACAGATCCCACTTGAGCGTTAGATTCTACATTTTGAGCTGATAATCCAAACTGTGATGTTTGCACAGCTTGACCTTCAAGTGACTGTGGTTTCACACCAAACTGATATCCAGATGATTCAGATTGTGATTGTGACTGGACGAAAGAACCACTCTGAGTTGAAACCGATGGTTTCTGTACAGAAGAAATTACAGTTGAAACTATAGTTTCTGGTTTCTCACCAAACCGAGAATCAGTTGATTCAATTTGTGATAGTTGGAATGATGAACCAGTCTGTGTGTTGCCGGAGGGTTTCTGGTTAAGTTGTGTTTGTTGAGAAGATCCAATTATTGGTTTGGATGTAGTAGAGACAACACCAGAATATTGATTCTGTTGAGAACTGAAACCGTATTGTGTACCAGTGGATCCAAAAGATGTTTGGACCAATGATGGCTTTGATACTGAAGATACTAGACCTGAACCTTTATTTACTTGTGAGTTTTGACCAAATTGGAAGCTAGACGATCCGATTTGACTACCTTGCGAAGTGGAACCAGACGATACTTGACCGAACGTTGGTTTTGATATAGTTGAGACCACATTAGAACCTTTGTTCGATTGAGAACCAAAACCGATTTGGGAACCAGTTGATCCAAACTGTTGAGATGTAGAACCGAAAGATGTCTGAGTAATTATTGGTTTCGATGTTATGGAGACCACATTAGAATCTTTATTTAGCTGAGACCCTACTCCGAATTGAGAGCCACTTGATCCAAATTGTTGATATCCAGAACCAAATGATGTCTGACTGCCAATTGGTTTGGAAGTGGTCGATACGATGCCGTTGTTTAGTTGAGAACCAGCTGATCCAAACTGTTGGGATGTGGAACCGAAAGACGTCTGGCTAACTATTGGCTTGTACGTCGATGAAACCACATTGGAACCTTTGTTTAACTGAGAGTTAAGACCGAATTGAGAGCCACTTGATCCAAACTGTGTTTGTTGTGATCCGGAACCGAAAGATGTCTGGCTGACTATCGGTTTGGAGGTGGTCGATACGATGCCGTTGTTTAATTGAGAACCACTTGATCCAGATTGTTGAGATCCAAAAGCGAAGGATGTCTGGCTAAATGTCGGTTTGTACGTAGATGAAACCACATTTGAACCTTTATTCTGTTGAGAACCGATACCAAATTGAGAACCACTTGAACCAAATTGTTGGGTACCGGCCCCGAAAGATGTTTGAGCAACTATTGGTTTAGAAGTCGTCGACACGACACCGTTGCTTAGCTGTGAACCAGATGATCCAAACTGTTGAGATGTGGAACCGAAAGATGTCTGGCTAAATGTTGGTTTGTAAGAAGATACCACATTTGAACCTTTGTTCAGTTGAGAACCTACTCCAAATTGAGAACCAATGGATCCAAACTGTGTTTGTTGTGAAGAAGAAACCACATTTGACCCTTTGTTTAGTTGAGAGCCGAATTGAGAACCACTTGCTCCAAATTGTTGGGAACCGAAAGAGGTTTGGGCAACTATCGGCTTAGCGGTAGTCGACACGACGCCTTGGTTTAGCTGAGTACCAACTCCAAACTGAGAACCACTTAATCCAGATTGTTGCGATCCGGAACCAAAGGAGGTCTGACTGTAGCTTGGTTTATACGTAGAAGAAACTATACTTGACCCTTTGTTTGATTGTGAGCCGATTCCGAATTGAGAACTGCTGGATCCAAACTGCGTTTGCTGCGAAGTGGAACCATAAGATGTCTGACCGACTACCGGTTTAGAGGTAGATGATACGACACCCTTATTTAGTTGAGAACCACTTGATCCAGATTGTTGAGATCCAAAGCCGAAGGATGTCTGGCTAAAGGTTGGTTTGTATGAAGATGAAACAACACTTGATCCTTTGTTTGATTGTGAGCCGACACCGAATTGAGAACCACTGGATCCAAACTGTTGAGATGTGACACCTAAGGATGTCTGGCTGAATACTGGTTTAGCTGTTGTTGAAACAACGCTTGAACCTTTGTTCTGTTGGGAACCAATGCCAAATTGAGAACCACTTGATACAAACTGTTGTGAACCAGAGCCGAAAGAAGATTGACTAACTATCGGTTTAGATGTAGATGATACGACACCCTTGTTCAGTAGGGAACCACTTGATCCAAACTGTTGAGATGTGACACCGAAAGATGTTTGACTAAACACTGGTTTAGCTGTTGTTGAAACAACATTTGAACCTTTGTTGTTTTGGGAATTTTGCCCAAACTGGAAGCCAGTGGATCCAGATTGGCTCTGTTGAGAAGATGAACCGAAAGATGTCTGACTGAAGGTCGGCTTGTACGCAGAAGAAACTACACTTGAGCCTTTGTTTGCCTGTGAACCGCTACCAAATTGAGAACCACTTAATCCAAACTGCTGGGATGTGGAGCCGAAAGATGTTTGACTAAGCACTGGTTTAGCTGTAGAGGTAGTTGAAACAACGCTTGAACCTTTGTTGTTTTGGGAATTTTGCCCAAACTGGAAGCCAGTAGATCCAGATTGGCTCTGTTGGGACAATGAACCGAAAGATGTCTGACTGAAGGTCGGCTTGTACGCAGAAGAAACTACACTTGAGCCTTTGTTTGCTTGTGAACCGCTACCAAATTGAGAACCACTTAATCCAAACTGCTGGGATGTGGAGCCGAAAGATGTTTGACTAAACACAGGTTTAGCTGTAGAGGTAGTTGAAACAACGCTTGAACCTTTATTGTTTTGGGAATTTTGCCCTAACTGGAAGCCGGTAGATCCAGATTGGCTCTGTTGGGAAGATGAACCGAAAGATGTTTGGCTGAAGGTCGGCTTGTACGCAGACGGAACCACACTTGAGCCTTTGTTCGATTGTGAACCGCTTCCAAATTGAGAACCAAACTGTTGGGAAGTTGTCTGGCTAATTGTTGGTTTGTATGAAGAAGAAACCACATTTGAGCCTTTGTTTGATTGGGAGCCGACACCAAATTGAGAACCACTTGATCCAAATTGTTGAGATGTAACACCAAAAGAGGTCTGGCTGAATATTGGCTTGGATGTAGAAGAAACAATGTTTGAACCCTTATTGCCATTGGAATTCTGTCCGAATTGGAAACCAGATCCAGATTGGCCCTGTTGGGATGATAAACCGAAAGAAGTCTGGCTATATACCGGTTTAGAGGTCGTAGAAACCACATTTCCTTTGTTGGACTGGCTCTGAGTGAACTGTGAACCAGATAATCCAAATTGAGTTTGTTGGTTTGAAGATCCAAAAGGTTTCTGGCTGAATGAAGGTTTAACGGTAGTTGAAGATATCACGGAATCCTTATTTTGACTAACCTGAGATTGCTGGAAAGTTGTCTGCACTATGGTACTGGGTTTCTTTCCAAACTGAGACGATTGACTTTGAGTGTACGTATTTGAAGTAAAACTTAAACCTTGAGTGGTCTGTGGCTTGGAACCAAATTGAGTACTAGTAGAACCGAACTGAACTTGTTGGTATGATGAACCGAAGGGTTTTTGGGTGAATGGCTTTGCAGTTGTAGAAACCAAACCAGAACTTTGCAGTGATTGAGTGTTTTGTCCAAATTGGGAGACAGTTGACCCATACTGAGTGCTAATGGGTTTACTGCCAAACTGAGTTGTTTGTCCAAGACTGGACAGTGATCCACTAGATCCAAATTGGGTTTGTTGGTAAGTAGGTTTCACATTAGATGTTGATAATAAACTGGAACCTTGGTTTTTCTGAGAACTTTGACCAAACTGCGAACTAAAAGTATAAGAAGGTTTCTTATTAGACACCTGGCTTTGGGAATAAGTAAAACTGGAACCCTGACTTGTTTGTGGTTTTATACCAAATTGAGAGCCAGATGATCCAAATTGAACTTGTTGATATGTAGAACTAAAGGGTTTAGCGGTTGTGGAACCAACACCCACGCTACTACCTACGTTAGACTGAGAACTTTGCCCGAATCGAGACTCAGTTGATCCAAATTGCGTTTGAACTGAACCAACTGGAGAGTTGCTTGGTTTGGTTCCAAATACAGAGTAAGTGTTAGATGTAAAACTAGAACCCTGACTTGTTTGTGGCTTCAAACCAACTGAGCTTACTTGTGAACTAACAACTGGTTTCTGGACAAACGAAGTTTCACTAATACTTGGTACTGTTTGTTGGGTGTACGTTACCGATTGAGTAATACCGGTTGGTTTTTGGCCAACTATATGTCCAGATGAAGACTGACTGCTCGATTGATATGAGATTTGCTGAGAACCAAATTTGGAATCAGTTGATATTTGGCTTGGTTTGGTTTGAGATATAGTTGACTGACCAACGTTGGAAGAAATTTTGTTATCTTGTGCAGATAAAGGTACAGCAGGCTTATTGTATTGGTAAATTGTACCTTGATATTGTTGTGTTGGTGACAGCGCGCTATCAGAAGTTTGACTGACAGATGATTGACTGAATTGTGTCTGACTTTGAATAGTTGGTTTCTGACCAATGCTAGACCCAGTTAATCCAAATCCGATAGAACTTTGCTGACTAGATACTGAAGATCCAACTGAAGGCTTGGAATCAACTTGACTAGATTGAGTACCAAATCGTGTAGATGTGGAAGTGGAACCAGAAGTGAAAGGAGACGCAGCTGCTTGAGTAATACCACTGTAAGAGGAGGAGCTGTGGCTGTCAGTTAATACGCTCACAGGGATTGCCGTACCAAAGCTAGTACTTTTAGGTGGAGTAATAAAAGGTTTAGAAGGTTGCCTGTAGAAGTATGAGTAGTCAGCTCCTTGTTCTTGTGTAATTGTGGGATCAATAGGCCCAGCTTGAGTGGATACAGCGGGAGTTGGTGACACCTGGTTTGATGACTGATAGTGGACATCAATATGACCACTTGATTCAAATGGTGTTGACAATTCAGTGTCGGGTACTTTTGTCGGACCTTGGCTACTTAGGAAACCTAGAGTGGGTTGGGTTGGCTGAACACCAGAAACAAACGCCTCACTTGATGAAGATGGAATTTTGCCACTGGTTTCTGATTGGATTGCAGATTGTTGAGAAGAAATTCCAAAGCTAGAAGATCCAGATAGCTGATTTAATGGTTGGATATTCGCAGAAGATGAAACCAAACTATCTGGTTTCGAACTTTGGCTGAGTTTATCAGACGATCCAATACCAGACTGTTGGCCTTCTCCAAATCTATTTAAAAATGAATCAGAGTCAGATTTCTTGCCGTTTGATTGAGTTGAACTAAACTGACTTCCAGAAACAGAAGCAGATGCAGAAGCGCTCGAAGGCTGGTTTACTTCTAGGTCGATAGTGGAGATTGGTATAGGGGAACTTGGTTTGTGAGAAATTGCACCTGATTCATGAACTGACTGTACTGACGAATCTACATTTTGAGATAAACTTTGTTGTTCTTTTTGACTACCTGAAACCGGTGCTGATGCTGAGGCAGTAGCAGGAGCAGATAACGATGCACCTATTGTTGAATCAGATTTTGAACCATGTGCATGCTGGCTAGCTAGCCCAAAGTTCGCGGATGGAACGTTTTCATTTTTCAATCCAAAACCTGAAGAACCAGTGGAAGCAAAAGCACTGGCGCTACCAGATCCACTCACAACAGCTGAACTATAAGCAGTGTTTCCACTTGATGAGTCAGATAATTCATGGAAGCTAGGTGTTTTGATTAAAGACCCACTTCCAAAACTAGTGTGAGAATAAGAACCCTCAGACTTCTTTGAATCTTCACCAAATCTATTTTCAGTCGATTGAGATGAAACTACTTGGGCACCTTGAGAACTAACTAAACCTTGTTCGTTCTGGACAGAACCAGAATGACTGGAGTGGCTTCCGAAAGACAGGCTACTTCCCGAAATTCCTAAACTTTGAGCTCCATTATGACCTTTATTACTGTCGTGAGAAGAGTGTCCTAGATTGGAAGCAGCATTATAAGTTCCAACAAGTATACCAGAGGTAGGTCTTTGCGCTTGATTACCCTGACTGGCGTAAACTCCACTAGACGTTGCACCTCCAATTGCGACTCCATCGTTTGAACCACCTTCCTCGTGTTTCTTAGCCTCGTATGAGCCTGTAAATAAAAATGAAAGCTGTGAGCAATTTGTCAATGATACCTGTGTCAAAGACCTTTGTTAATCATACAAAAGCCTTTGAAGTAGAAGATACGAGGTGTCTTAGTAAGCTGCATTGACAGTTAGATTAATGATCCGTCTAGTAATTAGAGCGACATTTGTGAGGTATATTTTGACACTCGTTATTATGGTTTGAGAATGGGTTATCGTTACTCAATACAATTTGTAAACGACTACACTCAGACAGACTATTAGTTATTGTAATTCTCATATTGATAGTAATTTGATAAAAAACTTAAATCGTTGCGGTAAGCTGCGTATGATGCGCCATGTAATTTCGTTAAGTGAATAAATTGCAGGTTGCAGTGTTAGCACATAATTTCCATACAGTTTCGCCGGCGGCTTCCGTATAATCAGGAAAATTGTCTTTTTATTAGTTTTATGTAAAGAAAGCTATAGATATTATTACATTTTACATAACATCACGCCTTTTATCCCCGAAGGGATAGGCAGAGGTGTACATTATGCCACTGTACAATGTAACACCCACTTTACTGGGCACAATTCCAGACTCCGTGTTACTACCGTGATTTTTTTTAAAAACCCAGTAATGCTTTGCCCGTCCCGGGAATCGAACCCGATACCCCTTGTCCTTTGCAGTCGCCCGTGTGTCCATTCACCCAATGAGGCAGTCTTACATCTTATTTTCAAATATCGTTTTATAATAAAATTTTGTCTCGCAATTTGGTTAACAGTTAGAATCGTTCTATTTCATTTTATTCTGTTCTAAATACCTATTCTTGGTTTTTTTAGTAGAGGTACTAAATTAATCACCCAAACGGAATAACGACGATAGGATATGGCATTAAAAGAATACTATCGGCCACACCAGGTGAACAAAGGCCGAAACCAGACTTCCCATAAAATCTAAAACCTGATCGAAAACGTTTTCTACAAAAATGTATAAAAATAAAATCCTAATGATTATGCAACACGTGTAATCAATCTATTATGGTCTAGACTCGATTGTATTGGCTAGTCACGATGTTTTTATCAATTTGATAAATTCAGAATTATGATTTTGATGATTATCACTTTATTTTATAGCTTCTAGGTTAATATTTATTATTATTATCGGCCGTTGAATTATGAAATGGTGTCATTCTTTATTGTATAGGTAGTGTTCAAAAGAACTGGTTTTTGATAGATTTTGTTCATAAGAAGTTGTGAAGAAACACTGGGTTTTTTCATTTCGTTTTAAAGTATAGTCTACAATCTACATAAATACTTGTACGGACGATTGAATGTTATTGCTAAGTGTGGTATTTTGATGTTGTTTTGGAATCATTGTATAGTGTTTAGATTTGTCTTACCTTTATTTTATTATACAGAATTTTAATAGCTTATGAAACTAATAATTAGGACAAACTTAAAAATGAAATAAAACTTACCATTTTCGACATGGCCCGCAGCTTTGACACCATCCTTAGCAACACCGTTTTCGGCAACAGATATTCCATTATCAGTCTCAAATCCATAACTGTAGTTATCCAATGCAACATTACTGGCAATCTTCAGTGCATTGCCACTTATTTTCTCAGAATCCTCTAATCCTATAATGGAACCAAACCCAGGCGCTATTCTTGTAAGAGGTCCTGCAACAGATCCTGTGAATGCAGCCTCTCCTACTTTAGAGTTTGTTGACCCATATGAGGCTCTTGGCCCTCCTAAACCAGAAGGTTCAGCACCTGAAGTTCTGGTTCCAGGATTTGCTGCATCTACCACTACTCCTTGGACATCATTTGTGAAGCTACCAGTGGGTAGTCCAGCAGCCCCATGGGCGGATCCATCGAGGGAAGCTTGTAGGCCGCCAGAGCTACTTCCACCGAATCTAGCTGATATTGGTGGCAGGAAGCTTGCATCTATCCTTCCTGTCCCACATACCGCTACGAAGGCGGTTAATAGTACCTGGAAAGTGAATTTAGTTATATTTAAATGACTTAATAATCTCAAGGATATAAGTTACAAACAAAATATAGTCTTGTGGAAAAATAAACAGATTAAAATGTTCCAAGTTAGCCTCGGAGTGTCCAGTTTTTAAGATCTACTATCTCATGGACAGGATGCGCAGAGCCTTATAGCTAGATGTCAAAAGTTCAAAATATTATCTTCACGTAATAAAATGCAAATTGAGTTAAAATCCGGTCCTGTTTCGCCACTTTTTTTTCTTTAGGCAGCTGTTTGTCAATTTAGGCGGTGCTATATGACTTTTAACCTTAATTAGCGTTACAGTCTATCAATAAATAATGAATATAGAAATAATGGAATTTTTAGTAATTAATTTTGTGATTCTAATAATAAAAATTAATTTCAATCTAGATTACTAACATAATGTTAGTAGAATTCAGATTGATGACACGACAATGTTCAAATTGTTTTCCATACAATAAAATATCAAAATAAATCGATAAAGGTTTTATTGAAAAGTGAATGAACTTCTTTACTTAATTGTTCGTTCCTAGATATCTTTACATATATCCAGTTTAATCATCAATTCGCCCCGGTATTTTGCAAGTTGGGTTTACTAGTTTTCACTACTTTCTTTGAAGATATGAATTACCTAGACGTGCCTATCTAGATTTTATATGCGTTACCTATAGAAAAGAAATTTAATCTTAGGTATACAAATACTGTCTGCTACAGTGAAAAATATCTAAGTTTATATCTGAGTTTGACATTGTATAAAGTTTTGCACATTTTAGCAATTTTTAGCATAGTATGTACCTTTTTAACCGACCTTCAAAAAAGGAGGTTCTCAGTTTGACCTGTATGGATGTTTGTACGCAATTATCTCGCGATTGGCTATACCGCTTTTGATGCAGTTTTGAGAAAAGCATTTGTTACACTCAGGAAAGGGTTTTAGCATATTAATTAACCGATTTAAAAAAGAAAGGTTTAGAGTCAATTAATAAACATGTTTTATAAAATAACTAGCGGCCCGTCCCGGCTTCGCACGGGGGGACTTAAGATTTTTTACATAGTTTTACGTTTTATTTATATTTATTCTCAGTTTATTATTTTAGAAATAGTAGGTAAGTACTTACCTAATAGGTATCTTTTGGATGAATTAATAGTCTTAAGGTAACCGATTGAACAATTCAAAAGTTATCTAGAGCAAACTTTTATAAGGATTTAACCATTCATTAAAACGATTGTTATGGGTAAACTATAAAAGGTAGACATATGCTCTCGCGGAATTTTTTAAAAATAATGTTAAGATGAACAATTCATCTATAGAGCATTTTTGTATAACTTTAACTATATGCTCAGCGCACGCCACGGAAGGCCTCAGAAACGATACTTTTCCCCCGTTTTTAAAACATTTTTGGTTACTGCTCCACAACTATAGGACCTAGCGTGATATTATATAGCCTATGTTACTTCTAAAAAATGCAGCTTTCTAATGGTGAAAAAATTATTGCAATCGGTCCAGTAGTTTTTGAGTTTATTCATTACAAACATACAAAAATACAAAAATACAAAAATACAAAAATACAAATCTTTCCTCTTTATAATATTAGTATAGATTATTAAAAAATTAAGGGACTTTGCATTTTAATATATACAAACAAAAGCGTCCTTAGTATGTTGCTATGCAGAAATTTGCAATATTTTGACCGTCATAAAGGCAAAAATTATAAACATGACTCCAGACATCAATTACATTTTTTTAGGAAATTATCATATGTACATAGGAAAATAGCTTGTCAATTCAAACCAGTTCTAATTTACGATTGTTTTATTAAAAATAAATATTGACGGAAAGTCGGTGGCATTTTTTAATAATAATAAAATGATTATGCATAGGACTGGTTTTATGAATAAAGTTGATATGGTTTTTATTAATATTAATTTGATGATTGAATTCAAACTATGTTCGAGCTTTTGACCTTTTTCGAGCTAGCTTATATCAGTTTTGGGTCTAGTCTAGGTGTACTAGAAATGGTTCGTTTTTAATTTGCAAAACATTTACAGTTATTTATCTATATACATATAAAAATGAATCCCTTTTTCCCTTGGTCACGGCATCATGCGTGAATTGCTAGACCGATTTCACTAATTCTTTTTTGTAGTATTTGTTATTATTAGGAGACAGTTCTTAAGACAGAAAAATTCCTGAAAATCCTACGGGAACGGGAGAAAACGGGATTGCGCGTACGAAGTCGCGGGCAGAAGCTATAAAAATTAATTTTATTTGTCTAATAAAACATTTTTAAACATGTTTAAACTGTCAAACACCAAGTGGTCACCGGTGACCGCAACCTATTGTTCTATAATTGTGTCTATAATGACGGTACTCGACGAGTTAAAATAAATGTGTTCTAAAATACGTTAGATACTTTTATAGAATTATAGAATTATAATTTAGTCTATTTCGTAAGTTATCTTCTATCTACAGTTTTTAACAGATAATAACAAAATTAAGGGATAGAAAATCAAATGGAACCAATATGGACAAAGTAGCTCTTAAGTGCTAATAAGGAATTGGCTTTTGTCTAGTATTGTCTCATTTTATGCCAAAATGTTCTTAACTCGACTTAATCTTTTTGCACACTTTTTACACTATATTATTATTGAGTATTTATTTTATATGTTTAACCCCGTGAATGCCATGGGGGACAACGTATGGGCCACGCTAGCGGAGGATTTACCTTCAACAGTTTTCTGTCGGCAGTCAAAGCCTTAACGTAGTAATAAATTAAATTGTTAAGAATAGGTACTTAGTTGATCTCTAGTTTAAAAATCAGAGTTAATACTATGAATAAATATTATTACAAATGATAATAAATGACTACCAAAGTTAATACTATGAATAAATATTATTACAAATGATAATAAATGACTAAAATAATAATAAAAAAAACAACAACTGAACATCCAAAGGGATAAACAAAACAAAACCGAACCATTAAAAAAGAAAATACCGGCAAAAATTTCGTAATTCGAAATCCAATAACAAACGACTCTTGCGCAACTATACGACACTATTCACATCACAATGACACAAAAGAAATTATTACCAATATCATCGTCCTTTATCCCTCACGGGGATCTGTATACTCTGCTTAGCCCACTTAAACTGGTGGTACAATGAAGCTACTTTTGCTTTTTATAGCGTTTGAAAAGTCTTCTAAAAAACACGCTTATATCATTCTGCCATGTTACTTTTGCAGCTATCTATCACATAGACAGACTCCAACTCATCCTTATTGCATCGCTCTAAGAGTCAAATTTTGTTCTTATATATTTTTATGGGGTGTATGTCTAAGTTTGTGAAGATGTACGTATAAGCGCCAAGTTCGAGCTATGTGGTTTACTCGTTTGAATTATTGTTTTAATTTCTTATGGACAATAAACCAAGATATTGGGCGTTTGCAATATTTTTTTATCATTATTGTAATATAGGGATTTGACTTTGAAAATGACCTCTAGTTTCCAATTTTATTGTGCAGTCATTTAATATAAAATTCAGGGGCAGTCTTGTTTTTGATATTTTTGCTTTATCTGCCTATAATTCGTATCAAATTTTATTTTCTACGTTAGCTATAAAATTGTTTATATGTAATATTTTTACATAACATAACATCACGCATTTTATCCTCGAAGGGGTAGGCAGAGCACATTATACATACCTCTGTACAATGTAACACCCACTTTTCACTATTTATGTTATGTGTCCCACGTAATAGGGGGTGAGCCTATTGCCATGTACCGGGCACAATTCCAGACTCCGTGTTACTACTGAGAATATTTAAAAACCTAGTAATACTTTGCCCGACCCGGGAATCGAACCCGAGACCCCTTGCCCGGCAGTCATAATATTTTTATTGATTGCTAATTAATTCCGTATTCGATTATTTATTCGATTTGTTTATATATAACTTCTAACCTTTTCAGTTTTTTTTTCACGTCATTCAAAATTGAAGTCATTAATTTAATTCAATCTTTTCGTACCTAATTGCATTAAATTAAAATGCATCAAAGTCAAAGTCAAAATAATTTATTTCAATTAGACCAGGAAGGCACTTTTGAACGTCAAAAACAAAATATTTAAATATTAAAAAATAAGAAAAAAAAATCTAAAGAAATACTTTGCTATTTATAATTTTAAGAGATAAAATACTGCCAAGTGATCACAAATAACTTGGCTTACCAACTTGAGTATTATCAGTTTTAAAACCATGAAGTCTACATATTTATTTATTTATTTATAATTTGGACAATCAATAGTTGACCTAATGTAAGATCTTATATCTAAGTACTTCCATAGTAATAAATTTTAAATACACAACATTATAAGGTGTCACAACATGCACAGTAGCCTAACGATGGCACTTTTATCAGTATTTGTGACAATTGGAAAATAAACTAAAAACTAAGAAATACTTAAAATTATAACATAAAATAAAAAATTGAAATAAAAAATCTAAGTACATATCATAAATCTACGTATTATGGTCACTCAACAATCTCACTACAGCCTTTTTAAAATTCGGTAGCGTGTCAGCAAAAATATCCAGTTCACCAGAAATTTTGTTATAGGACTTTTTTTTAAGGGGGAAAATCATCGAATGACTGCTCCCGCCTGGGTGAGGCGGGAGGGAGTGTCAGACTCTTACTGACTAAAAACTACCCCGTTCCTTCTCCTGCACGTCGAGCCGGAGCCCCAGTTACCCGTTAGGTTCTCCGCCACTCGTTATAGGACTTTGACAGTCGAGACAGAGCAGAAAAATCCTTCACGTTAGTTTTGGCAGGCGGTCGATTATTCAAAGTTAAAGTCAAAGTCAAAGTAAAAATCATTTATTTCAATTAGGCCAGAATGGCACTTTTGAACGTCAACAAAAAAAAATTTAGTGAAGCTATTTGCTCATTCCAAAGTGTAGATTTCTATGGAGAAGAACGAGCAAGAAACTCCAGAAAGATTATTTATATGTTTGACAAAAAGCTTGTCTAAAATAAAAATGTAACTAAAAATCAGATAGGTAACATAAAAGGGTGTGCCTCTTTAAGCTCCAGACGTAAACAAAAGAAAAAAAACTTGCTAGGGTTTTTACCAAAAGTTACCATAATCCTATTACCAATGCTATTCTCGTTTTACAAATGCATCAATATCCTGTTGGCAATCATTTATTTTGGTACATTTGGATGCAGATGGCATAAAATTTTATGTCCATCAAATACCACAATGCCAAAATGAGATCATATTCACACCAAGGTACACACATCCCAAGCTTTAATAACCAGTATAAACTGATCGTTAATTGTACGAAAAGATTATAGAATGCTAGACTACGATAAAGTGGTTTTGTATAGCTTTATGTGCGTATATATATAAGCAAGATAATTGACATTTACGTGAACTATAACATAAACCAGTTATAAATAGATTTAGTTTTGTCGCCTATTTTACTTTATTTGGGACAATTTTTCTCAAGATCTATGAAAGTTATCTATTTATTTATATACCTACACATTTTTATAAACTTAGTTGTTTTATAAACTTACTAGCTTCTGCAACCGGCTTTGCCCGCGTCTCCGTGGGATAAAAACTAGCACATGTGTTATTCCAGACCATAATCTACCTCTGATCCAAATTTCATCTCGATCCCTTCAGCCGTTTTGACGTGAAACAGTAACAAACGCACATACATCCTCACAATCTTATGCTCTCATATTATAAGACTTATAATATTAGTAGTAAGTAGGATTAAAACTAAATATGATATCAAAAGACTGAGCAAAATGATTATTATTATCCAAGTTTCGCTACAGCAACTTATCTATAAGTAACATGTAACATTGATAGACGACCAATTGTAGTATTTATTTGTTATTAACTTTTTAATGCTACCAAAAATAAGGGACATAAGACGGACTTAATGTCATATGGCATTTCCTCTCAGTCAACGTTTGGGTTAAATATAGAATCAGTGTTAATGGACTTGTTTATTATGCAAAAAACAAAACAAACAACTAATAGTCATTATAAATACTGTATAAAAGTATATAATAAATACAAAATATGTACATAAATAACTATGTATATAATTTTCACTAATTAGGTACAATTCATTTCTTCAAACGGCCTTTAAACCCTGTATTTTTTGAGGTTTCAAATCAAAATCAGGTTATCCAATCGCGAGTTAGTCACACTCAAACACATACATATCTACACACATTCAAACATACAGGTTAAAATAAGAACCTCCTTTTTTGAAGTACCCTAGGTACTTCTAAAAGATTCTAAAAGATTACTTAAGGATAACAATAGAAAAGTCTTTCAAAACTCGAGTGGGTGTGGCTCTAACAAAGTTTTGAAAAATTTCTCCGTTCCATTACATTATGTCAAGAGGATGTTCAAAACAATAGGTACAATAAAGTGACACTTACAATAAATATCATTCACTCGTGTATGGATGTCATCCATCATCCAACAGTGTAATGTTTCCAAGTAAAATCATTTGAGACAATATCCCGATATTCTGTGAATAAGACAGAAATTTATTAGTAGCGAAGTTAAACTTTGAGTCATCCCTACGTGCGTCGAATGGTAACGTTTGTGAATGAGAACAATAGACAAATGTATTATAGGAAAGACGATACGGTTAAAAATCTTCTGATTTGATCTTTATAAAAAGTTTGATTGCCTGATATTCATAAAAAATTATAAATCAATGCTTTGTTTGCAAACCAATAAGGTTTATTCGTTGAATATTTAGTAGAGATTCGCTTATTTTTTTGATAAACTGTCTAGCTTTTACTTGACAAAGGATGGCCTAGGTATGAATTAGGACTGTGATATATCTATAGCTATCCCTTTAGTTTAGATAAGCTCAATATTTTTTATATGAAAGATTCATCATTATAATCATCGACAGTCTATAAATGCCCAGTGCTGAGCAAAGCTTCTTTTTACATGTAGAAGGTTCGAGCATTAATCACCACTCTTGCTCAATGCGCGTTGGCGATTACAAACTTATAATTTGAAATTATAAACCCAGTTTTCCTCACGCTGTTTTTCTTTACCATTTGTCAGTGGTGTCTAGACTTAGAAAGTGCATATAACTCGGAAAAAGTTACATTGGTACTTGCCGTTGGTAGGTTTCGAACCCGCACCCTCATGCATGAGAAGCGGGCGTCTTAAACCTCTTAATGAAAGTGTATAATCATGTGTACTTACCTAAACATAGTTACATCTTAACAAATCTTCCTATGAAAAACAAAAAGATTAACAACTGCCAATAACATTATTATAAAGTCATTATAACACAATATTAACAGCAGATGTAATCAAGTCTTCGTATCGTATCGTGGCAAAGTCAAATTATTTCATTTAAAATGTACCTACCTGCATATTTCTCTACCTACCATGCACTACTTTAATACTTACCGCTTGTATTGACAACAAACTTAATTCCGGACATAATTCGGGCTTAAATATCATGAATGCATAAATAAATTGTGACGGGCGTGCATCCAAGGTCTGCAGGAAACTGATTTTTTAGTTTTTAAAGTATTTATAGCTGAGGGCAGACTTACTTTCGTTATTTTAGGGTTCTGTGTAAAGTAAATAAATATGTATATTTTAACCCTACTACATTAATAATAGCTAAAGACAATTGAAGTTCATTTGCATATTTCTTAATTAATTATTATTACTATTTTATGTATGCCTTTACTACTCACGGGACCACAGGGTCCCGGTCATTTGGGAGGCGTACGAGGGGCCGAAGCCAACTGCGCAGAGGCCCTTTAGACAACTTTAATCTAAATGTAATGGATACACAAACCGGCGACTATCCCTGTATGCACTATGAAAATGCACTCAAGTACAGTCCTTTATCAATTTTTTTTCGTACACAACCCGTCTAAATAGTTCTTTTGCATTATATCCACCCAAAGGTTGTCTGGTAGAAATTACTATATGTGGTAAAACCGCCTTTGTGCCCATTGTTATTTTTATATTTATTATTTCTTTTTTCTGTATGCACTTATTTATAAGATTTATTTCAATTAAACCATAATTAGGTACTTTTGAAACGTTATTAAATACAAAATAAATAATAGTCTGTCAGTCAGTCAGT